CACACACACACACATAAACTACAAACACACACACACACACACACACACACACACACACACACTCACATAAACGACAAACACACACACACAAACACCCTCACTCAACCAGTTGTTACATTTTTCTTCATATAAAATTAACGGCTCAAAATAGTCATGTAAAAAATAATTTGTGAACAGACTGTCATCAGTTCGCTAGCTTGGCGTAATCGGTAATCAGCACACTACCCTCAAGTACATTGGAATACTCGATCTTCTTGGTTTGACCCGGCTGTTGGCCTCCTGCGTAGATCTTGACTGCCCCTGAGAATTGACAAGAAATTCGTCAAGTGAATTGACAGGGGCAGAATGGGAAAGGTCTCGATATCAATAGAAACGGACACACTGCAATTTTGAAGAGCATAACTATGAGTTATATTATGTGTTTATAAGTGGAACCTGGAAAGACACCTCGCTTCCCTAGAATTACAATGTTCAATCTGCTCAGTACCCAGATTTGAGAAATTTGACGTAAAAAATGTTAGAGTTTTACAACATGCCAGGCTTTTTTTAAATGCAGCTCTTTGAATATTTCCATAACGATTTCGATTAATCTTACGATTTTGATAGAGCAAATAGAACAATTGGTTTTTGAGCTCATGGTCTTAGTAACTCAAAACGGCCAAAAATGTCAGATAGAATTTTGTAATTCTGAGGTTGTGATCTGTCTTGCATTCAGAAAGAGGTGAACAATAAATGACGAACCGTGCAGACAGGACCAATCCAGTATGAGAAGATACAACGTCCATACAAAATGAGGGATATAAAAAATTCTCCCCACGCGGGAATCGAACTCAATTCTTCTGCGTTTGACGGCAAAAACAAGTTTTTATTGATAATCGAAAAGCTTTGATTTGATTTGATTGAAGTCAGCTAACACCTAATCAATTTGTGCAACTTCTCCCTTGGACCCTGACTTCTATCTCACGTGTGTATTCTCCTTCGTCATTGCAACTGTTTTCAGACGACCATACCGGTAATACAGCATCGGATGCATCCTGCAGCAATAATGTCGGGTCATTGCACGTCAGCCACAGAGCCAGAGAAGACACTGTGGGTGGTTGGTGGGGGCTCTGGCGTGATTTGTCCCTTCTTTTCTATCAAACGTCTATCGACATTATCTCTTTTTCTTGTTGTGTATAGATTGTGAAGTGCATAGAGCGTACTGTTGAGCGGGAATTTGCGCTATACAAATTCGATCTATCTATCTATCTATCTATCTATCTATCTATCTATCTATCTATCTATCTATCTATCTATCTATCTATCTATCTATCTATCTATA